ATTTATTAATTAATTACCCCCTATTTTTAATTGAAAAATAAATTAAATATAGATTTATTTTTTAATCTAACTAAAATTTTTAAAGAATATGAATGAATGACTGGCTATTTTAAATTAGAAAACAAATTCATCAGGAACCTTTAATCTTACTGAAATTCTTCAATCAAATAAATAAAAGAATTACACCCTATTTTTAAAATTAAATATAAATTGAGCATGCATTTAAAAATCTAAATAAAATAGTTTGAAGAATGTAAATTAAAATAATAAATAAATTACCAACTATTTAGAATATGAAAATGAATAAATAAATAAGTTCCCATGTTTATTTAAATCAAAAAAAAAGCGATGATTTTTTCTTTAATAAATAAGTAATTAATTATTACATCCTATTTTTAATTAAAAGATAACTAATTATTTTAAATTCTGAGTAAGTAGATTGATTAATTGAAAAGTTGAAAATTAGCTAATAATTTACAGACTATTTTAAATTTAAAATGATTAAATCAACATTAAATCAGAATTATTCCTTCAAAATGTTACTATCTATTTATTTATTTATTTATTTATTTATTTATTTATTTATTTATTTATTTGATTTATTAATTAATGAATGAATGAATTGAATATAAATAGATAATATAGTTAAAATTAATGAATAATAATAAAATAAAATATTACGCTCTAATTATAAAGATAAGATTAAAAGATGGTGATACAATCTCCAATAATTAATTAAAAAAGTATATGTTGCACTGAAATGATAAGTTTGTTTTTTATGATTTTGTGTTGGTAAATAAATATATTTATGCCAATTACTTTTTCCTATTATTTATTAATATTATAATATTAATAGATTCTTAAAACAAACTATTTCAAAAATAAATTAAAAATTATGTTTTAAAACTAAGTTAAAAAAAGAAAATTATTTAATTTTTAATAGAATTTGTTGCTTGCTGGCTAGTTTGCTTATTATATTATTCATTTTTAAATTAAATTTCTCATCGAAATAAAATTTAAGATATTTTTTGAAGGTTACTGACTGAAAATTAATTTGTAATCATGAAATAATTACTTTTTTTATTATTAAATTGACAAGATATTCATTCTTAAAAATACTCTTACCTAAATAATTAATAAAAATCTATCTACTAAAAATATATAAATTTAGCCAGCAATGAAGAAAGATATCAATCAACTTACCTAGCATTAATTAATATTCAAGTTATTTCTAACTTTTAACATTCATTCATTAAATATAAAATGGAGGAAATAAATAGAAAATTTTGGAAAATATGTTTGTTTTTTCTATTATTCGATTTTTCGATTTATTCTTAAAAATTCAATATGTTTGTTTGTTTTTTTGTTTGATTACTCTTTAATAAACTACTTTTTATGTTTCATTTTTGGCTTGTTGTATAAAAATTAATTAAATTAATTTAAATTAAATATGAACTTAACCATTTAATTAATTTTCTAAGTGTAGAAAATTTTAATTTATTACTTGTTATAAGCTTTTTGCAATTGAATTTACTTTTCTTGTTCTTGCTTTTGCTTTTTTAAAGCTTCTTCCTTAATTGTTTAATATTAAGATAAAATAATAAATTATTTGTAATAATTTAATTGCTATATAAAAAACTTACTCCCTTTTTTTTAATTTACGATTAAGAAATGACAGGTTAAAATGAATTCAAATTCTAAATATTCTGCTTTTAATTCTATTATACTTTCAAATAATTTACTAATATTTTTTGAGTCTGCTTTAATTTTTCTATTTCTTATTTTAGCAAGATATTTGTTTGATTTGACTCAACTATTGTTGCTTCCAACTAAACTTTTTGATTTCTAAGTGCTATTAATTCATTTTCTAATTGCTTTTAAATATCTTTAAATGATTTAATTTGTTATTCTAATTAGATATTTGATTGGCATAACTGAGAGATTATTTCCTATAAAATATATTCAAAACATTATTAAATTAAACAAATTAAAAATGACTATAAATAAGTTAGAATTGATTAAACCTGTTCTTGCTATTGCTTTGAGAGGATCTCTTAGATGAAGTCCTATTCCTTTTTACTAGAAAATATGTTAAGAATAGATTCATAATTTGTTGGAATTAAGTTAGTAAGTTAGTTACATAATAGGATAAAATTTCTCTGAAGAATTTTAAACAAATTCAATGTCTTTTTTGAATTTGCTAATGAATTGCTAAGTGGTTTAATCATGATCATCCATGAATTCGATAAATTTCTAATCTAGTTAAAATTCAAATGAAATAATTCCTTTTAATATAATTAAAACATCTTTTATCGATAACCTATCTTCTGGCTTGAATTAAGTTAATCCGTTAATTATGAACTTAAGCTGGTTTTTGTAAGTGAATTACTCAAATTAATTGCTGTAATTCAATGTCAAATGCTTCTTGAACATTAAATCGGTTTTGAAGTCTTAAACCATAAGGTAAATTAGATAACCTTTATATTTATTAAACATTTTATCAAATTGAATTACCAACTATCTTAATATCTATACATCTACAATAAACTCTCTATATTTTGGTTCAAACAAAGGGTGAAAAAAAAAATTATTTGTCGGATTCTAATCACTTTTTTACCAAAAATCTAAGTAATCTAGTACCCAAAATAATGAGAGTTTAATGTATATATCGATCAATAACCAATCAAACTAGATAAAAATATATTCAAATAACTAAGATTAATAATTACCTAGTGAGAAACATTCACTCTTTTTTAATAGAAAAAACAAGTTAAAATTTGTATAAATTATAACTAATTTACCTTAATAGTTGGTTTTGTGCTTATGTTTAATCCTAGCTTTTAATATTCATCTGAATAATCTTGAAATTTCTTTGGATCATAACATTCTGGAGCTTAGAATAGCAAGTTTCCTAACTGTAAAATTAAGAATTATTTCAGAAAGTAGACTTTATATTAGTAATATAAAGTATTACATATTGGTTCATTCCGTATCCAGATGTTTTAGTGAGACTATCTGCCAATCCTAAATCAGCTATAATTATTTGATTTGTTAATTAATTAGTTAATAATTGAGAGTAGATAAATAAATCTTTTTGCATTTTATATGTAAAAACTTACAAACTACAGCATTTCCATTATAATCAATTAGTATATTATCCATTTTAAGATCATTGGAAATACACTTCTAGGAATGAATGTGCAAAAGACCTTCAGCAATATCTTTAGCATACTTGATTGCAGATAATTCATTTAGTTTTTCGTTTGGACTCTTTTTAATAAGTTCGCTTAGAGTTCCTTTTTAAATACATTTTTTTTAGCAATCTCATAAACTATTAATGCCTTTTACCTTAACACTCATTCAAAACTAAGTAGATAAATTCCTTTCCTTCAATTTTCTTTAACAAATTGACCACATAAGAAGAACCTTTGCACTTTTGGAGCATATTGATTTCTTACTGTGCTTGGTTAAATGTTTCTTAGAAGATTTTACCTTAAGAATCTTTGACATGAAGTCCTTTGATTGCAAATCTTCTGTTTGTGGATAACTCTTTTGCTAAAAAGACCAAACCTTGCTTTCCCTCTCCTATGTACTTAAAGTCAGAGAATCCTTTCTCAGATAATTCAGCCTTGATGATATTATAAACCAAACTTTAAGTAGGGCCTAGCTATGGTTCTTAGATATCTGAAACTTTTGTTAATAGTTAAAATAATCATAATTTAAGATATGCGAGCCTATTTAGTAAACTTTTTATCAAAACAGCCATAAATTTCAATTAAAATAGAATTAAATTCAAAAATTATTAAGATATGTGATGCTAAATATATATACTCATCTGTTCTGGTTTATCTAGCATCTGAATACCTTTGTCTTTATACATTTGCTTGATCTTCAACCTATTTTAAATATGAGAAACTAATTTCTTTTAAACAATGTCTGATTCTTATGGTTTTTGTTATTGTAGCATTCCAAAACCTTGAGATGATCCATATGGCTATTAGATCCAATATTGCGATTGTTACTATTGCATTCTTAACTGATTTGAACCCTAATTGCTTGAGCTATTTTCCTATTTTTGAAAGTCTACTTACTTTTCTTACCTATTTATTAATTAACTTTTTGATAAACTAATTAGTTTGATTTATTAATTATTATAAGCAATAATCAAATTTCTTTAGTAAATATAATAGCTCTTTCTTTAAATTCGTATTGATTTGAAATTCAAATATTTAAACCAATTTCCTCAAAGATATTCTTAACAAAGAATAATGTGAAAAATAATAATTTCTATTAAGAAACTAATTAGATAAATAAAAATTAAATTCTTTCTTTGTATAAAATATTATAATTTAAAAATTTTAGTAATTTTTTTTAAAAGAATATATTTTATATGTAAATTAAAATTTTTAAATTAGAATAACATATATAATTAAATCATTTGATTAACAATAGTAAAACAACAACAACTACAACTGCAAATAAAAATGTATGAGACAGACATAAAATACATAGGTAGATAAAGTTAAGAAATAATTACTATTAAAATTAATAAATATGAGTAATTACTTTAAATCATTCTAACATTTTTAACATTTTGACAATTTTGGAATATAAAATATTCCTTTTTTAAATTGATTTTACTTTACATTTTATAAAGAAACTGTTCTACTTTTTCTTCTAATTTCTACTTGATCTCTGATCTTAATTATTCCAAGTAAAATAAGTTGAGTGTCATGTATAATCTCTTTAACGCTAATTAGAGTTATTAAAAATTACATTCAGAAGCGAATGCTGAGATTATTTGTTTACATTTTTTAGTGGATTTCTCTTGATTTTTTTATAATTAATAGACATTGTTTATATGCTTTAAATAAGTCCTTTATTAAAGCGTACTTTATCTTCTTTTTTAATCGGCGTTAATACTATTCTGATATTTTAAAATAAAAAACTAGATTTCAAGAATGTTCCAATCACTTTTTGATAGGCTAATAATTCTTTGCTAAATCTAATTGCTAATTAGGGACATTTATTAGGACTATTTTATTGATTATGCATTTATCTGATCAAGTATATAATTTCTTAATAAAATTTAATCTGAAATAGCGGTCTATCAGCTATTTGTAAGACTATTCTTCTAAATTCAAAAAATTCAATAAAGTATTTAGCATGATTGAGTATTAGTTTTGCAATTTTTAAGAACACCTTTAAACTTTTTAATGAATAATTGTTTAAAACTTAGATTTAAAATAAATAAATGCATTTATTACTCATTAATAATTCACTTGATCAAAAGTACTTCTTCTTTTTGGTTTCTTCCAGCTTATTTGTATAACTAATACTTCCTATTTACTTAGAGATATTTCAGTAATCTATTATGAGATATCTTAGCTTTTAGACTTATTATGTAATATAAAATAACTATTTATAGATTCTAAGTTTTCTAAAAAAGAAGACCATTGAATATTATATTATTCTTTTCCTATGGTTTTTAATAATGCCTATTACTTATTCACAACTAATTAATTAACCAATCAATCAATAAATCAATTAATCTTTATTATCTTAACTTAAATAAAAAATTAAAGAGATATTGTATATATATTTTATTTAATGTTTAGCTTTTATAAATATCAAAAAGATGTACTTTTAATTCACTATTTCTTGTATTTAATTCATAAATTTAATGAATTGACTTGGAAGAAACTTCGTATTCTAATTAATGTATTATCAGATATTTTAAAATGGAAAGACTGATGTTTTTTTTACATATTTAATAATCAAATAATTTTTGTTTTCCTAAAGCTATTGCTTCATTGTTTATTGCGAAACTCAAATTTTCTTTTCAAAGCTTTCCTTTTTTTCTAGATTTTTTCTTCAAATATTTACATAAATAAATAATATAAATAAACAAAAATGTTATTTTTAATTTATTTATTGTATTCAATTAAAAATTTAAAACTTAAAAATACTTTAAATAATAATATATATTAATAAATTATTTTTATTTTTAAATTTATTATTTATTAAGCATAAAATGGCTGGGCTTGTAAAAAATATAAGGTACTTATTTAATTAAATTACTTCATATTTTTTTTTATTTAAAGCATTACTAATTCATGTTTATTTTAGCATTAAAAACATTTTATTAAAATTTTGTAGTTTGTTTGGTTTATTTACAATTATGCAAACAGCTTTTTAATTAAAAATCAATGAATATTTATATTCAATATTAACATTTTGTTTTTCAATTATAACAAGAAATGAATTCATAATAAATAAATAAAAATTTTTTCAAAAATTTATTGTCTTTTCATGTTCAATTTTTATCTTTCTCTTCTCCAATTTCTTTATTTTCTTCAATTGGCATTTCTTCATCGAATTCATCAAATTCTGCTTCTTCATCAAAAAGATTTTCACACTATTAATATTCTGAAATCAAATCCATCACATTTGAATGAGCTTCTTTGAATTCTATTTCTTCCATTCCTTTATTTGTATACTGCGACAAAAAAGTTTTATTTTAAAATAAAGCAGTAAATTAATTTGAAATCCTATTAAATACGTCTTTTATGGCTGTAGAATTTCCAATAAGGACACCAGATAATCTTACTGAATTAAGAGGAATATCACATTTAGAATATTTCAAATTGTTAGGAATTTATTATACAAAATAAGAGTTATATTCATTTGAAGAATTTACAACCTATTCAAAGAAATCTTTATATGGTATCCTTCCTCTGAAAATAGCAGAGGCAGCTAAAAATCTACCATATCTCCAATCAGTAGAGCAAAGCATAGTTCTAGGATTGTAAACCAAATTTTTTATTTCAGGAAATTTAGGTGGATAGCACTAAGTAGAGCCTCTTGAATAACTAGGAGCAATAGCACTCATTAAAAAATGGAGTCGAGGAAAAGGAATCAAGTTAAGAGCAATTTTTCTAAGGTCTGAATTAAATAATCCAGGAAATCTTAGAGTACAAGTAATAGAAGATATTGCAGAAGAAATATAATAGTTAAGATCCTTTAAATTAGGGTTGTAAAGTTTAGCAACTCTAAAACAAATATCATAAAGAGCTTCATTATCAATTACCATAGTTTAATCAGCATATTCGATTAATTAATTAATAGAAAGCAAAGCATTGTAGGGTTCTATTATTTTATCTGAAATCTTAGTTGAAGGGAAAATTGAGAATGTTTCAGTAATTCTATCAGGATATTCTTCTTTTAATTTCTAAAGAAGGAGAGTACCCATTCCCGAACCAGTACCACCACCTATTGAATGGATCATTTAAAAACCCTAAAGACAATCACAAATTTCAGCCTCTTTTCTGACAGTCTCCATAACTTAATCAATATATTATGGACCTAAAATGTAATGACCAATAGCCCAATTATTTTCTGCTGGGTCTTAACCAATTATTAAGTTTTCAGGCTTGAAAAGTTGCCCAATTTAACTTGTATTAATAGAATTTAACAATGCTGGATCTAAATCGATCAAAATAGCTCTAGGAACATATTTATCTGCTTTTGTTTGGTTATAATACACATCTATTTTCTCTAATTACAAATCAGAATCACCTTTATGAACACCAGTAGGTTAAATACCATGCTCTTTAGAGATTTCTTCCCAATAGGCTGTACCAATTTAATTCCCTGCCTAACCTATTTGAATATTAAGAATTTCTCTCATTTTACTTTTTTATTTATTTTTTTAGAATTTATTTAATTAAAAAATTGATATATTTCTGAATAAATTCAATATAAATTAAATAATAACATAACTACTAATAGATTCTGATTTCTTAATTAAAATTGAATAAACTTTTCTATATTATAAAATCAAGTAATTACTCTTCTCTAAATATTTAAATGCATAATAATTATAAATAAATTATTCATTCAATCAATACAAACAGTTTAAAATAAATATTTTTACATATTTTTTATTAAATTTAACCATTTTGTCTAAATATAACTTAAAGTTTTTTTTACTTCTGTGATAAAATAAAAAATTAAAGAAATTAATTAATTCGTTTATTGATTATTTGAGAATAAATATAATTATGAATAGAAAAAATGTTGAATTTTTTTATAATTTTGAATAAATTAACTTATATTTTTAAAATTAATTGGTTTTAACTTAAATAAAATGAGATAACTCAATCAAGTATTTGTTTGTGGTAATTAAGCTATATAATAAAAACTCTTATTAATGAATACTTTAATGTACTTTATTAAGATTAAAATAATTTTTAACATAAAGTTAATATAAGTTTATAACATTAGTTTAGATGAGGTTATAAGTGGTAATTGAAATGAGTTCATTTTTAGATTAATTATTACTTTTTTTAA